CTCAGGAGGAGTCACCTCTGAGAGTGGCTCTGAGAGTGGTGACTCAGGGTCCAGGGATCGAAGACAACCACCAACACCGGGCCAGTCCTCCTCCCACACTTCCCATGGGTTGGCCAGGCTGCTCATGCCTCCCCAAACTGGAAACAGCCTGGGTTTCCAGACCACTCAGATCTGAAGTTGGAATCCCAGTGGGTGAGGTCAGGCGAGTGACTCAACCCCTCTGAGGCTCTGGCCCCTCACAAGTGAATGGAGTTCCAAGACTTCCGGCAGAGGGCGCTATACACTGGACACGTGGGTCACCCTGGCAGGTGTATATTTACTGCTGTTCTCTCCCTCCCTTCCTTCCTGGGCTGTTTCTGACAGTCACTTAACTGCTTCATATCTGCAGAAAATGCAGCTGTGGGGAAAGGGAGCAGGTAGCCCCCAGGGGGAAGGTGGGGGCCCCAGTGGGCTGGGAATTAGCAAACTCTTCCAGATCATACTCAAATAAATGTCTTTTCATTCCTTTCTTCTTCTTGCATCTGCACAGCATGTAGGACAAACAGAGCCCCGTTAATGGGAGGAAGCGAAGGTGGAAGGGTAGAGGGGGTACTGGCTCAGGGTGACTGATGGCCTGCAATTCCCATACCCCACCCTGACTTCCTCCAGGTGAGGGTGCCGGCACAGTCTTCAGACCAGAGGCTGGGACCACACCTACCAAACCCAAACATACTCTGGAGCTCTGAGCGCCCCGCAGGCTGCAGCAGGGTCTTATGAACCCCACAGTGTCTGCATGCATAGGACAATTCACGATGTCCTCTGTGCCTCAGTTTCCCACCTATAAATGGGGATGCTAACACAGCACCTACCTCAGCGGACTAAATACACGCAAGCAAAGCACTTAACAAGTGCCAGGCACAAGTCTGCGTTTACTCTGTGGTGCCTATTAGTATAATGGATATTTGTGAATGAATGAACCAAGAGGACAGACCACTGAGTCAGAACTGTTCTCTCCCCACAATATTTCCTTCTCCCATAGAGAAGGAGAAGGGCACCTTCACCCTTTGTGCCTGCCAGAGGCCCTGGGCAGTAGCAGACTTCTGAAAAGGGCAAGATAGTGACTATTTTAGCCTTTGCCATTCGGTCCTTGTTGCAACTACTCAGTTCTGTGGGTGAGATAATACATAATTGAATGGTGTGTTCCAATAAAACTTTATTTGCAAAAACAAGCTGCAGCTGACCCTGCTGCAGACGTTCAGCTTCCCCAGATTCACTTTGGGCTCCAGAAGGTGTGGAAGAGCTGTTGGGTAGCAAGTTCTGCCCCTCCTTCCAAATTCCTGCAGGCAGAAGCTGAGGGTGGCACCTACTCATGGCCTCTATTCATCCCTGATAGCTATGACTGCAGATGGAGGGGTGCCCTCGGGGAAGAGGCAGGGCCAGGACCCCAGCATAGCATCTCCAGCCAGAGAGCAGCAGGCAGGTGCAGCTGCCCGAGCAACAAAAACAGGAACCAGCCCATGGGGCTATCAGCTCATTAAAACCAAAGCTCAGTAACAGAAAAAGGACAAAACAAGCACATGATGGTAGAGCTGGAGCAGAGGCAGCCTCCTCCCCAGGCCCCAACTCCCCGGCTACATGGTGGTACGAGGACCCCAGGGATCCAGGGTCAGTGCGCCACCTCCTCTCTCTGGGTCTCCCAGATCCACATGTCCCAGAGGGGAAGACCATCAATAACCTGGCCTGGCAGTTAAGAAATTAAAAAAGTAAAAGGTGAAGAAGAGGGCTGCAGCTTGTGCAGCTGTGGATGTCCATGAAAAGTGATACAAATAAATGATAACAATGCCTTTGATTTTCTAAGCAGCTGTGATAAACAGGGGCTCTGGTGGTGTTTGAAAATGAGGAGAAAACAGGGAGACAGCCTGTTTCCTGGTTGGGATCCTTCCATCCTGTTCTTACCATTTGGAAGAGGCCTCGTGCAGTACCCAGAGCACCCTAACACAAGGGCAGAGGGGAGAGGAGAGCACGGGTCTCCTCTAGGCCTAGGGTGCTCCCCACAGGCCCATGTCCACGAGAGCCACCTCAGCACCTCTGCCTCCTGGAAGTGGCCTCACCAGGACACACTCCATGTTCTGGACAGGGGAGCCTACTTCATTCTCCTCCAGGCAGCTGAGCACTCAAGCGCAGGTTTCCAACATCCTGAAAAGGCTGTCATTCTGATGGAACAGGACTGTCAGGCTGGACGGGGAATCTGTTGAATGGGAAAGCCCTGACTGGTTCCCCAGAGACCACCCCCCCCCTCCCCGAACAAGGCGCCATATCAGAGGGAGTCTGGAAAACTTCGTGTCTCCTGGACATTGACTATCTTCATTCATGCTCCTTTGAGCTTCTGTTCTCAAAGGCCTGGGGGTCTTTAACCCATTGCTTCCCAAAGACACATGGCACAGATCCTCCTGCAGATCCCCATCCTATCTCCTTCACCCAGACTTCTCCTGTCTCTGACTTTCAGGGCCCAGCTCACAGTCTAACGGCATGTTCCACTGAACCCTGAGCCCATCTACAGAAGGGGTCTTGACCATCTTCTCCTCAGCATTCACAACTCTCACAGCCAACAACTTGATGAGAAAGAGAGGTAAGCCGGAATGTGGAGGCTAGGAATGAGTGGGCTAGAGAACAGCATTACTATAGGATGCCATCTGGTTGGTGATTTTTAAAAACAATAAAATAAAATAAACATTTGTATATCTGTCCACAAGAAAATGAAAGACATACATCAAAAATTTAATAGTGACCACACAGAGCATGGGATGGGCAAATTTTTCTTTAAAATACCAGATGGTAACTACTTTGGGTTTGGGGCCACGTAACTCTGCTTTGTGGCTCCAAAGCATCCACAAATAGAGACTATACCAAAGTGAGTGGGTGAGCTGTGTGTCAATAAAACTTTATTTATAAAAGAAAGGGGCTGGCTGGAGGGCCATAATTTGCTAATCCTGGATTTAAATATTGAATACATGAATATATGACTTTCATTTTCCTATTTTATATTTGTATGCTTTCCCCTAATTTTCCACTAGGGGGAAACCTATAAGTTTTATTTATATGTGTGTGTATATACATATATCTACATATATGTATATGTATTTTTTAGGGTACAAACAGTTCTTAAAACATAAAAATATTAGCAAACTCACTCCTAAGAAAAATGGAAAATTTAAATGATACTGAGAGCCCAGATTTTACCATGACTGATAAAACAGCAAAAGCTTGCACTTTATTCTGTGAGTTTTGAGAAGCAAGCTTTCACATACATCCTGGTGGAGCAGAAACTAGAACAGCTTCAACAAGGTGCCATTTGCAATCTCCATCAAAACAACCAATTTTTCTACCTTTTGACCCACAACTTCCCTACGTAGGAATTTAGCCCACAAATGCACATACAGGCAGGTTTAGTTGTGGACTCTGAGGCAAGCTAAAAAGAGTCCAGGCCATTTCCTGTTCATCAGTTTGGAACTAAATAAATTATACATCTGTTCTACAGAATACTACAGAATACTACATAGCTGGGCAAAAGAAAAAGCAGCTCTGATGTGGAACAATCTCCAAGAGGTATATTTTAAGTGAAAAATCAGGGAGCAGAATATGTCTTGACAAAGGAAGAAAATACTATATGCGAGTAATTGCTTTTGTATGCTGGTGTTATCTTGGAATGATACTGGAGACTAGTAACAATGAACACAGACAAATGGGAGGCTAGGGATGGAGGCGGAAAGCAAGCCTTTTTTTTTACTCTCTAGTTCTTAAGACTGTGCCTTTTCAATTTGGTATCATGTATAAGAAATACCTAATCATAAAAATGTTAAGTTTAAAAAAGTAAAATTAAACAAAATAAATCATACTAAGAATGAAATATGGGTGTCAAAGGGCTCTGGCCAGTCAGAGTAAAGAAAGCTCTGTGACCCTGAGCCTTGGTTTCCTCGCCCATGAGGAAATGGTGACACCTCCTTGGCTGACCCACTGCCACCTGGGACCCGAGTGAGCGACATGTGTGCTGAACTCCATGGTGACTGGCTGTGTCTGAATATAGGACTCTTCTCTGCCTGCCCGGGATGTGCTCAGGTCCAGCCCACAGTGTCTGCAGAGGGTGGTAATGACACCGAGAGGAGTTGATGGATACAGGAAACCCCTGCTCCCATCTGGCAGCTTTCCTGGTGGGCAGCACCTGCAGGGGTGGCCTAAGGGCGAGCCATACATAGCTGCATGCAATGTGTCTGCCTGATTGCATAGCTTCTCCCCTGCCCTCCCATGACCACCATCCCAACATACCCCACAAAGCACACTCTAGCCTGGCTCATACACTACCTAACCCTCTGCTTTGGCCGAGCTAGAAGCATCCATTGCATCCTTTAGGGAAGGAGGGCATCCTGCTTAGCCCCAGGAAGCAGAAAACTGGGTCTGAGGTGGGGGAGGATCCCCAGGGTCCTCCAGTCCTCTACCACCTCATCACTCCCCCAAAAATGACACCAGGCCTTTATTTTCACCGCGCTGCCCCTCGTATGTCACCACCCCTTGAAAGTTAGAGTGAGAGGGACTCACTCTTCCCATTTGATTTTGGGGGAGACTGAGGCACAGAGAAGTGAAATGACTTTACCCGACACCTCCAGCAACCAAGCGCAACACAGACCAGCATTCACCGCACAGCTCACTGTCCTTAACTCTTTCCACATTACCTTCCAGCCTCCCTTCTAAAAAGAACCATCTGTTTTTCTTCTCAGCAGCTTTCTCCCCAACAACGTGCAGGCCTGATCACCTCAGTGGTTTCCTGAAGCCTGGCCCTTCCCACTGAGGGCACCTCAGCTTGCCTCCGTGGACCAGATGTGAACAAGCAGCCCCAACAACCCTCTCGAGAGCAGGCACGTGCACACACAGGCCAGATAAGGAGGCCCAACTTTAACTCAACCAATGTCAAGAGCGCCCAGCCCAGAGAGAAACTTCCAGATCCCGCTCGGCTGCTGGCAACCTACCCCTTCTTCAGGTTTGTCACAAAGGCGCTCTGGAGGGCAGCTTCCAGGAAGTAGGTGAGCTCAAAGTCAACTGGGGGAGGGCCTTTCAGATGCCGGGAGGTGGTGTTATTTGTGACCTGGGGAGGGAACACAGAGAGAGCCACTGTCTCTAAGTTCATTCGCAGAGGGGCCATGGTGAGGGGCAACCCGCAGAGGTGGCCCATCACCATCCCAAGTCCCCAGGCACCTCAGTGCATGTGGTGCGCTTCTCAGTCAAACTCAACCTAAAACTCGCTTTAATGGAAATTGTGTCTTAAGTATCCTCTCTCCATCTAAATACTGGTGCCCGCAGTAGCCCTACGAGGTTGATTTTGTCTGATTTTAGGAAACTGAGGATCAGAAAGTGTCTAAGGTCACAAAACCTGGACCTCAAACTCAGGTCTGGCCAGATTCCAGGCTATCTGTACCACTTATTAGTTCATTTATTCATTCAACAAACACTTGAGGGTCAACCATATGACCCATATACTGTCTCTGTCAAATCACCATGGGATGTACAACAGTCCAAGGGCTGAGCTGTTCTTAAGCCTCAACTCTTAGGGCCCCACCCAACTCCACAGAGATAGGCCTGCCTTTTCTAGGGCACCTCCCTTCTCTGATCCATTAAAAAAAAAAAAAAATCAATGAGTCATCCACCTTATCTTTCAGAAATCAAAAATTTAAAAGAGATTCTTAGTTCCTCAGAGGTTGGGCTGGGTCTTAAGAGGGATACAGCATTGCATGAATGACAGACTTCTCTGTCCTGCCCGCCTTTGCCCTGAGACAACCAGCTGCCTGGGCTGTCTGTGCACTGCCACTGGGCTCTGCTTTCAGTCCTGGACACCATTACAGTTTGTCACCTTACTCCCCCTTTGAAAGTCCAAAGCACCCAAAAATAAATAAATAAAATAATAACAACCACAATGACAAAAGGGAAAACAAAGGAAAAAAAATATAAAAAAGGAAAACAAAAAACGGAAGTCCAAAGCCTAGGCTGCTGATGGAACATGAGACTATCTTTTTTTATCAAAGTTTCCTCTAAACTACACATAATCCAAATGCAAAGACATCCTAAAAGGTCAACTCAGGTCCCCAAGTAGACCTGCCAGGGATCACACTCCAGTCCTGTTTTTGCTGAGCCACTTAGTCCCTTCTCTGTCCCCTTGAATTGCGACTAAGCAGGAGGCTGTAGAGCAAGGACTGTCAACAAGTGGGTGATCTGCCCTCAGGGACATTTGGCAATCCCTGGGGTCAGTTCTGGTTGTCACACTGGGGGTTAGGGCCATGCTGGCCAGCCTCTAGTGGATATAGGCCAGGGGTGCTGCTGAATGTTTTACAATACACAGGACAGTCCCACAATAAAGAATTATCTGGCCCCAAATGTCAGCAGTGCTGAGGCTGAGAAGCCCAGCTTTTTGTCATCACTTTTATTGGGCAGTCAAGAGTCTCTAACAGAATCAGCATACTATAATCTTTCCATAGATGCATCCATCTCTGGATGCTGATGGAGAGGGTGGCTTTTTCTAATTTGCATGAGGAGAACCTCTAGGTTAAGTGGGCCGTATATACAGGTGCTTGATGAGGAGCAGCCATGACCACGACGGTGCTATGATTCCCAGCTCACCTTCTCCAGGTCCTGCAGGAACACCTGAGCGATCCAGGAGGCCCTCTCAAAACAGGCGATCACTTCCTCCTCCCTCTCCGTCAGGCGGTGGCGGGATGCTATGGAGTTGGGGAGGCGTTCCAGGGAGAGGCCTGCAGAGGGGAGACAGCATCTTAGACCTGTGCTGTGGCAGGTGGGGTGGACCCTGACTCCAGGCCCTTCCCAAAGACCCAGGGTGGGCTCATCTGAGGAGACCTAGGCTCTGGAGCAGCCAGTGGGAGGCGGAGGTCCATAGAGGGGAAGGAGAAGCTGAAGCCATGATGGTATTAGCAGCGGCAGCAGGATCAAGCAGTGGGCTGACGGCAGCAGCTGTGCCCATGAGGGGAATCGCACTGTGGTACGCCCATGGCCAACCCCTGCCTGTTCTTACAGCTCCACCAGCAACTATTCCTGACCCCTCCTTCCAGTTGCTATAAGAAAACATCTGCTCCTGGGAGCTCACCATTTCTACACTGTATAGTGGTTATTTACGTCTGGCTCTCCTTCCCACCAGGGGCTGAAATCTCTGTGTGGACAAAATGTGAATTTTTGGGGGACTGCCACCCTCCCCAGCAGACAGTAGATGCCTGAGTTACACAGGATTTTATACACACCCCTCCTGTGGAACCAGTTTCGGCCTCACCTAAGTTATCTAGGTTCAGGTCTTACTGCACTAGATATCTGTTATTCTCAACTCCTCAGCATCTGCTCCCCATTCTTTCAGCAACAGCACCTCACTGTCCCTTTGAGCACCCTTCCCACGGTCTCTGGAGGGCCATGACCCCACTTGACCTCCAGGGGAGGTACATGAGCCAGCTGAGCCCATGGTCAGGGCCAAGAAGAACCAAATCCAGAATTTTCATTCTTTCCACTGGGCTTGTCAACCTGGTAGGAGGCCAGTCTGGAAATGTTAGGAACGCCGGTCTTTGGATGAAGCTGCGCCTTGAGGATGTAGTCAATACGACTGAAATGCACACTTGAAAATGGTTAATGGTAAATTTTATCTGCTGTGTTTTTTGCTGCCATTAAAGTTTTTTATATAAAATTAAAGTGTAGTTTTAAGGGGAAAAAAAAGCCACACGCAACCCCCTCAGCCGAAAATTTGTAAGACTCCAAGAAGGGCAGGCATTGGTATACTTACTGGAAGTGAATGCTACAAAGGAAAACAACACTATTTGGGTCCATTTCTTCTTAAGCAGGAAAAAGAGTGAACAACAACAACAAAAAGAAGTCCACACGAGTATAGATGAGGCCTGATGGGGAAGGGCGGTTTCCTGGGGTCACTGAGCACCCTGCCTGAGCGCTACCCCTTGACACTTTCCATTCTGTAAGTCAAAGATCTGACCCACTGCTGCCATCTTTTTTGGGTCCAAGTCCGTTTGTTTTGTCTTTCTGTCCCTTGTAACTCTACAGACCTGACTAGAGAGTGTACTGTCCTGGGCTGGACTGTGGGCTCCCAATAGGCAGAACCAGGCCTCTCTCACCTCTGTCCCCCACATAGCACTCTTAGATAGTGGGTGCTCACCATGAACAGACTCGGCTCTCACCTGCCCTTCAGGCTTTATCTCTCATATGGATGACCGCATCGGCTCCTAACTTGCCTCCCTGCCTTCCGTCTTGCTCCAATCCATTCTTTCCAAAATGCCACTGCATTTTGGGGGTAAGTTTCAAACTACTTGCCCTCTCAATTCACATGTTGAAAATCTAATGCCCAAGGTGGTGGCTTGAGGAGGCAGGGCCTCTGGGGGGGTGATGAGGTCATGAGGACAGCACCCTCATGAATGACAGTAATGGCCTTGTAAAGGAGGACCCAGAAGAGCCTTCCTCAATCCTGCCACATAAGCACACAGCAAAAAATCAGTACCCTGCAACTTGTTAGAGGACCCTCACCAGAACCCTGCTGGCTGGTACCTTCTCTTGGACTTCCAGCCTTCAGAAACCTCTATGGTTATGGCACTTTGTTACCACACTTGGAGCTAAGACACCATACTGGGGCCTCCCTGGTGGTGCAAGGGTTGAAGACAGCGCTGTCAAGCTATCACCAGCCACTGCAGCACGAGTTTGATCCCCGGCCAGGGAGGTGACACACATGGTGCAGCAGACCTCTCCTGTCTTGCCTGCTGCTCCCCTTAGCAGTAGATCTGCCTGTTCTTGTCCCTACTCTGTCTATGGTGGATCCTTTCAACACCCCCCATCTCTGGCCTGTACCCCAGTTCTTGTATGCATAATTTTTTTTTAAAGACATCATACTGACTGCATCCACACTCAGACTCCTGTTCCCAACTGCTGACCTTGCTCAATTTCTCCTCCTGCCTAAAGGCACCCCTCAAATTACCACCTGCCTTCTGACCCACTGGGTGCTGCCTCCTCTACAGAGCTCCTCCTGATATGCCCTGGAACAAACAGCTGTTCCCCTCTGGGCACCGGTCTATACATAGTCCCACTGCAACATTTCTGATCCTTATTTGCTTTCATGTTTGCCCAGCCAGACTAAGGCTCCTTAAAGGCATGGTTTGTGTGCACCCTTCTACAAGCTGGCGCACAGTAGGCACTCAGCAAGTACTGGCGGGCTGGCTGAAGAAAGGGCAAGTCTGATCCTGCCTGACAAAGTACAAAGTACTCTGCAAATACAAGGTAAAGAATTACTGTTTCCCTTGGCCAGATTCCAACTCACAGGGATTCAGTGACCTTGCCCTCTGCCAGGCTGCGGTGTGAACTGGTCCAAAGGTCAGGATGCCTCAGCCTGGGGGTAGGCAGACACAGGACTCCTTGCTTAATATGAAGACTTAGTTACCTGGGTCACCAAACGTCATTGTACCTCCTGCCAATGCCTCAACCTAGAGGGAAAAGCTCTTCGCCTGAAAGGACTAGAGGAGAAAAAGGACTACAGGGCACACTGGAGGAGAACTACAGGGCACACTGGAGGAGACCTACAAGGCAGACAGGAAAGGCAGACCCCCTGTTCACTGCCAGTGCTGGCCCAGACAGAAGGTGGGACAAACACATGAACCATTCAGAGGCCTCCAAATGACAGGCAGACCAGTCAACTCCTGAAGACACAAGGTGGATTTGTTTTAATACTCTGTCCTGTCTGTTCCCCCACATAATCTGCTGACCTGTTTCCCTTGCCCCACTTGTGGACCAGAACTGGGATAGATGATGCCAGCTGCCTGGCAGGTCCAGGCTGCCAGACCCACGTGTCGGGAGGGCTGGCCACTGCAGAGCAGTGAATACAGTAATCCTGGTCTCGGGGCCTCCACTTTCCCTGTGCTTCATTAGTCCCTTCTAGTCCCAGCCAGGCCTCTCCCGCAAGGTCTCCTCATCCTCTACACGCCACCCTCCTTGGAAGCTCTAAGCAAAACCACCTCCTCTCTGAGGGCTTCTTAGCCCTCCTGACCTCAGAACAGCAGACAGTTTCAGCTCTGCTCCTCTGCTGTGCTTCCTTGCTGTGTTGTAACATCCCCCTGCACACTTCTGATTGATCTTCACACCCCGTGAGAGCCCGGCCTGGTGGTCAGTGAGTGAGCAAGAGGACACAGATGAATGTGCATGCTCAGCACTGCTGAGTGTGGAGTCCCAGGCAGGATTCTCCCACCCCCTTTCAAAAATGCCTCAAACTGTGGTATATTTATACAAAGGAATACAAGTCAGAAATAAACAAGAGGATAAAATTTTGATAGGCACAACATGAATCTCTGATTAGTATGCTGGGCAGAACTAGATATAAAAAAGTACATGCCGTATGATTTACACGACAGTTATTATGAAAATCGAAAAAGACAAAATTAATCTACAGGAACAGAAAGAACCAATCACTACCTGGGGTGGAAAAACAATCTTTCGAGGGAACTTTCTGGGGTGATAGAACTGTTCTTTGTCTGTATTGGGGTGTTGGTTACAGGGGTATTTATACTTGTCCACTTCATCATATTATACATTTAAGGTCTGTGCACCTCACTTATGAAAATGTATCTAAAAATAATGGATATAATCCTTTTTTTAGATGAAAGTAGTTATCATTCAGAGAACTGAATGGTCAAAACAGAGGTGCTTCGGTCATTGAGATTTTCCTCTAGAAATAATTTCTAACATAGATAAGACCAAGAAGTTTTCTGGAGTTGACAACAGCTTCTCACTAGGGCCACAGCCCAGGTCCCAGTTCTCTCCATAAAGGGGGGCTTCTGTACCTGCTTTTTGCTCTTTGACTCCTAGGCAGGCAGATCCATTTCCCCCTCCACAAACATCTGAGTGGAAACTCTTGGGTTTCCTCCTCCTCTACCCTATGAGCATTTCTGCACAAGTGCCAGACAACAGCACCAGACCCAGGATGGAGCGGGGATCGTGGCGGTTAGAATTCAGCCTCGTCAGGTGGGCAGGATGTTAGGGGCTGCCAGGAAGCTCTGGGCTCTGCCTCATGATTCCCACCAGCAGACAGGCCTTTCTATGAAAACACCCATTTCCACTGGGTGCCGGGGTGGGGCTGGGGGGCACTTACTTTTCCAATAACTCACAGAACTTTCAGTTTGGAGGCAAGCTGATCCCGGCACAGCCTGGGGTTCAACACCCGCCTGGCCTAGTCGCCTCAGCCTGAGATGACTCATCACCTCCCAGACAGGCGCCCTTCCAAAGCCCCACCCTTGGAGCCCTGGGCCCTAGAGCAGAGGTGGAAAGCACAAAGCTTCCTCTAAAAAGGAACTTTCCAGATGGGTGGACACTTCCTCCCACCTATCCACCTGGCCCAAGAGCACAAGGCTCCCAAAGAGGGCTAAGCCCAGTGTTGGGGGAAGGGGAACAAAGAAATGCCAGTCACTGCTCAGTCCTCAGAGAGGAAGCCTCAAGGCCAGGTTGGGGAAGAATCCTCACATGTCATATTCAGAAGCGGGTAATTGTGGAAATGTAAAATGGTGCGGGCAGCTGTGGAAAATAGCCTGGCAGTTCCTAAAAAATTGAAGTACCATGTGACTCAGCAACTCCACTTCTGTGTACATACTCAAAATAATTGAAAAGAGAGTCTCAGAGAGATATTTGTATCTCCATGTACAAATATACTGTTTGTATATTGTGCAATACTATTCACAGCAGCCAAAAGGTAGAAGCAACCCAAGTGTCCACT